ACACCATACAAACAAAAGCATTCATATGATAGATCAAAGCTTGTGAAAGTCTTATCTTTCATTGTCAGGTGACGAAGATTCTTTTTTACTTTTCCTGACACGGTTTACCGCGTCGTCTAACTATATCTGTGTTGAGTGGCTCGATGCAAATTACGTCAGTCCATATCTCATATCCACTTAATCAAGTGTGATGTCCCAAATTGATTAGGATTCCTTCAATCAATGCACGACCACTCCTGATATCTATTGATCCAGGTGATGTTTGGAATTGAGAATATAAAATCAAATCATTCCGGCGGATCCAGCTGCACTCACACCGTGATGTCTCTTGGAACATTCAATCTATTCGACAAGTTGGATGAATTATCATGATCTGCACACAATTTGACCTCATACACATACATGCGGAGCAGAATTTCAGGTGGACAATAGCTCTTCATCATGGCGTTACAGTTTATATGGGGGGGAGCAACCTAGGGGTTGAGAGGAGAACAATAAAATGCAAGGAAGCGTTCACTTCGTGCATGTGTGTGGTATAAATACAATCTGATCTCATGCACACGTGCCAACAATGAAGGGAGTTTGCTTTTTCGAAACATGATATGATTTATCTTGTTCGCACACTATTTCATCGAGCACGGGAAAATATGCCCAGAGGACTCGAAACGACCAAATTGACCTTGTAGAAGAAGTTGTGTACGCTGACGGATATCCATTTGCGTTCATCGCAAAACATTGCAAATAAATAGAAAAAGTAGAAAAACCAATATCCGCTCCCAAAATGAAGACCTTTTTTTGACGTTATCATATAAAGTCGATGACGTGAATGAGTTAGCCAACAAGCGGTTGAACTCTGCCGTCAAGCGCGTCTACTACGCTGTGGACCCGGTCATTGTCTTCACTACCAATCGGATACCATCGACATCGATGAAAGAACCGTTGTCCCCCTCCGCCAAATCAAAGTGCATTCAAGTGTGGATGCCCAACCATCTACATAGGCAGGACAGAGAGGCATTTACGTCACCGAATGGCCGAACACATTCCGATGTAGCTTATGAAAGCGATGGACGACAAGTTCAAAACTGTCATGTCATGGAATGAGCAGAAAGACTAATTTCTTCGATAAAAACATTGCATCACTCCCACTCACGCAGTTCAAGTTATCTACAACACAAAAAACACAAACAAAGCATACTCTCAAACCCGATCTGTGTAAACAATTTGAATGGTTAGTCACGCTCGCTTTGCCTTGGTGATTGAATCCTATCCTCTGTCGTTCTCTGTGTTGTTGGGTGGGATTAGCGATCTTGTTTTTATCTCATGGTCATTATATAATTGACTATAAAAATCAATTGGACTGCATGCATGTGTACAAATCCAGAAAAATGCCCTTGGAGATACATTGTGCAAACTCATATTTCTGACTTATTTATTCATACATTAATTATCTTTGATAAGTTTAGTCTCAAAACAGTTTTTCACCTATGTGATGCGGAGTTATTTAATTCAGTCATCCTCAGATTGTGTAAATACGTACAAAACCCGTCTCTTCCACCTTTCGCGTGAGCATTGATTGAAAAATACCATGATTAGCAACAATGAGTCCACCTCACCCCCTCGCCAATTCTTATTGTACCGACTGTTCTGTATGGCCAAAAGACCGCTGCAATGCACCGTGTCAGTATACTCCGTCATCTATACAATATATTGCTCTCCACGATGAGATATCTCGAAAAACGGATCCATAATGGATCCCTTTGTAAGACGGTGGTATTTACCCCGAATTCTGTGTGCGGTATATGTGCCCGATTCGATTGATTAAATAAAATAAATATAATAAGTTAGAAATAGGACACCTGGGGATAGTCATTTGAAATGGGTGGCTAGCCGCATGTGCACGGGATCTACGAGGAATAACAAGCGGGAGAAGGACAGACGCTGACGTTTCATTAGAGCAAATAGAATAAGGATTAGTGAGCGACTGCCCCACGGTGATCTGCGGTATTCAAGTGTAGGGCGAATCTGAGCTTTGCGAAGCGAGAGGAGGTGAATGGGGGTAAAGAGATGCCTGGCGTGAAAGAGGCAGCCGATTTCGTGCCCAGCGCGGGAAAATAGTAGATAAATATAAGGTGAACATGAAAGAGAAGAAGATAAGGAAAGACCAAATAGGCTGCATGATTCTGTGGAACGGAGAATGTTCAAGTTGAAATTCAAGGACGGGGAGAAAAAAGAGTGGTTAAGAGAAATAGACATAAGGAAAGTTTTGCTGTTATTGAAAAAAAAAACCGTTGCAACAGCCCCAGGGAGAAATGAGGCCCAGATTAGAACTTAGAGAGAAACTAACGAAGGAGCGATCGTCACGAATCCTGGAGTTATCAATGCTCGAAGGGGAATAGGATAAAGAAGAGTGTAGGGTAGCGTNCAAAGGCGTAAATAGGATTTGAATTTGAAGCATAAGAAAATCATCACGAAAAGGGAAGGGGAAGTACAGAATCTTGAGGAACACCAGCATTCACAGAAACGGAATAATACATGGTTCCATCTACTCGAACAAACATGCTGCGGTCCTTGAGGTAGCTTGCGGTCCGGGACACGGGTTCCAAAGTAAAGCAAAACTTGGGAAGTTTAGTCAGCAGATCCAAGAGCTAGACATGATCGAAAGCTTTCAGCATTTCAAATGACACCATACAAGTTCGGCCGTTGTTGCTGAGTGCCACTGACCATGTACGCTAAATGAGCGGAAGAAGATCACTTGTATATCGATGGGATCGGAAACCCTATTGGCGGTCGCTAAGCATATTGTTCTGCTCCGGGTGTTGGTGAAATTGATCAGCAACAACTGAATCCATAACCTTCGAAATGACTGGTGTGAGAGAGATGGGGCGGTAGTTGTTTGGGTCAGAGTGCTCGCTGCGTCTGAGGATGAGAAATATTTATGATATTTTCCGTGGGGTTGGAAATATCTTGGAATTGAGAGATAGATAGAATAAGCGACGTAGGAGGGGAGCCAGTTCTGAGGGGCACATACGAAGACAATGGGAGGAATCCCGTTGGGTCCAGGTGGCTTGTATGGGTCCAGTGATAAGAGGATCTGACGTGTTTCTGATGGAAACGAGCGGTATGAAAAGAGGGTTGATCGTAGGGTGTAGGGAGGGTTGGATGGGTGATCCCAGTAGGGTTGAACTGGAGCCGAACTGAGAAGAAAATACTTTTGCTTTTTCCAACGGGTCGAATATGAAGTCACCAGATGGTTTAAGAATAGATGGGAAGTGGAACAGAAGTTACGGGAGACTGCCAGACCGTCTGGCGACAACAGGCGCGGTTAAACTATTCTGGAGAAAAAGGGTTGCCGAGTTTAGTGAAATGAGGAATAAATAGGTGCATGCAAAAGAACTTTGGAAAAATTAGAAGCCGAGATGGAGATATCAGCGGAAAAGAAAAATTCATTCCAGAGGTAGGAAGCCAGAAAGTTACGACAGCTGCACCAAGCAGCGGAACCATATCAGCATAATGTGTATCTAGCATTGAGAGAAACATTGGAACAGATAATTTGGGAAGACAGAGAGAGAAAGAGAATGGTCCGATAAGTGTTAGAAAAAGACAGTCAATGAAGGGTGGTGTTTGGGGTGCAGTGGGGAGAAAACAGTAAAATTATCACATAAGGATTTGGGTGCTTATCATTTAGACCATAGTGATTGCAGCGTTATAATCAGACTAAGTTGCTTGCACAACTCCACTCACGTGAACATGGGTTGTACTACAATCCGGACAACATAATAGGATAACCATCGCCCCGCTGTCTACAGTCGATGTTGAAGACTGACTACTAATCAGTGACACGAATAAGTACACATTCGAAAAGTCATCAGGATAGCCCTCGAATAGTTAGAACGAACATGTCTCCGGCGGCAAGTATTCACCTGAAATTTCTTTTATGAGACATGTAAGCGTAAAAAACAGCAGATGGAATGAACGGACCCCTTAGTCGTGAAACCATCCTGTTCAGTGATGCAAACCGGTAACCTAAGCGTCAGGACTTCAATATAATAGTGATGGCTAGGGTTAAATTGTATATATTCCTGGCTCTACCTCGAACATCTATATTCTTGGCTCAATTTCCCACGGGGATGCAAACAGTACATGCATTGCTTTTGGGTCGCTATGTCACTGAAGTTTTTAGCAACGGATGTGGTTTGATAACTCAACTTGTAGTGTGATTTGTTGAAGGAACACGATCGCCAGCCGTACTTCACTCATATTATGTTCCACATGTTACATTTTGATTAGTGGCGTTATTTTCTTCGTTTATGGTGGTCTCCTCATGGGTGGACGAAAATCAGTAGTACCCTGGAAATCAAACACGAATGATGCATCTGATAAACCGTCTAAGGTTGCGTGGAAGAAAGTGAAGTAAACGCATTGCATCTATGTTTCACGTTTCTACCGTTTTCGCTTAGATTCCCACATTCACAATTTACGTGACGCAATGTATTTCATAGATATTTTCTATAACACAACTCAGTGTGATGAACAGCCACGCGGACCTGCCGTTCAGTGATAGAAACCGGCAGCGTATGCCCCGGGTCTTGGCGTGGTGAATCACATAAGGCCCCTCAAGATCAAGCGTGGTATTGATAAATTACACGATTGCCACTGGAACGTTGCCAACAACCCAGCGTACATCGAATCTATCCCGATAATTACCTGCATATTGTCTGATTCTTTACCCAATGTGTATATGGGAAATACAGTGGTACGGTGAGAGTTTTAGGAATCATTTAAACTTGTTCAGGTATTTATAACACCACTGCACACCCTAATGAATCCAATCAACACACCCATGGACGTAGTGTCCACTGCGTAGGAGGAGAAGTAAAGATGTGTTTGAAAAGCAAACATTGATGTGTATTTGAATCAGATTATGATTTTGAATGATATTGTTTTCAAATCATCCAACCAAAATGCTACATTGCGACAAACGAGCATTGCGCTCCGATTCCTCAGTAGCATTTGTTCCCGCGACATTGCATTCCACTGCAACAGTCCGAGTCGCGATAGCACCATTCCCACCGGTTCACGCACGGCTTGTCACATTCGCGTTTCCATCGGTCGCATCGCATCCCATGACAACACTGCCAATCCTGATCACATCGTTCTCCACGGGATTGACATTTGTCTGCAATTCGAGAAGTGGATTAGATTTTGTAGAATCAACAAGCGGGGACAATTTTGGACAATTATAATTACCAATCACAACTATAGCTGTGATTGAATCCGCTACGGGCTTGAAGTCACTCAGTGGTTTTGGTGATGGATTTTTGACCTTGTCCAAAACTAATGTGTAGTTTAAGGATAANTGCGCACACCCTGAGCCACAGAGAATCCAGAACATACATCTATGTCACCCTCCCAATCACGCATCGTTATATGCCAATAGCTGGATCCACACATGCGAACATGATGGTTTGTGTAGTTACTGCGTTCTATCAAATAGTAATTGGGTACAGTCATTGATAACGAGGACCTAAAAGTTGTGAGATGATATATGGAAGTCAGTTCAATAGAGATATGACAATCTTAGATGGAATAGTTACTTTCTGTTGATTCACAACACACAATCAGATTATGGTGAACCACAGAAGTGGTAAGCATCATATTCGCAAGCAGCGGCAGTTTACTCAGGTACGCTAGCACCTCGAACCCTCGGACTTGATGTAGTGAGCGAACTAGGTGCATAACAACATAGAACAGCCGATCATCGAAAGTGGGTGGCAACGCGCGCGCGCGAGAGAGAGAGGGAGTTTAAACGTCTTATCTTGGAACAAAATGCGTGCAACTGACAGCAGCGTAAACCACTTGAGCATCTCCAACTGGGAAGAAGTATACTTATCTTCGATACGTACTTTTGCACTGATCCGAACGGCATTCCATCGGATTACAACAATCCCGGTCTGAACGGCACCAATGTCCTTTTTGGGCACACTGCCATGCGCAAACATTGGTTCGTTTGTCACACTGCAGATTGTGGCAGCATTGCCAGTCGTTTTCACACCACTGACCTTGGTGTTGGCAATGTCCTGTAGATTAGACAGAAGGAGTATCTAATAAGCACTACAAACAATTGCTGTTGTAACCTCAATATTTTCGTATAGCTTGCGTATTGAGATGCTGTCCAAAAGGAACGTTGGCTGAGACCTATACTCATCTAGAATGGTTAGCCAATCAAATCTGACTACAGTTGATTTCAATTAGAGAGTAATCTTTCTAATGAGAGAAAATGATGCTGTTGATGGAACTGCAGCATCTTCTCAACAAAACATTGAGAGAAGCGCCCTGGAACACCATCTAGCTATTTATTGGATGCATGAACTGAGACTAATAGATATTCTCCTAACATACACATGTTGAGTCTAAATGAGTACATGTACTCATGATAGAGTTATCATGAATACCAATGAAATTTAACACTTACCATGTAGTAGCTTCGGTTGAGTTGGTGTAGTTGTGAGCGAATTTACACCCATTAGGAGTAGTGAGCAAAGTAGCATAAATACGACAGTATTCTGGATCATCTTGAAAGACACGAATAGGCAGCTTGAATTCTGTAAACCTAATCGTTGTCTTTTATGCTTGATTCTGACCTTGTGCAGTCACTCTACGGGTCCTGTTGATTCAGTGTCACTTGATGTTATCACATGATGATGTGCGGCCGTGTACTTCGGTTCCTACGCCCCC